TTTGTTAGGGAATTTACTAGTAAATTACATAAACATTCTAATTTAAGCTTATGCATGGATTTTGAGAAAATAAATAGGCTGGGACAGTGAAAGGCAGTGACCTTAACTACACATCTAAAGATTAAAATAGAATTAAAGCAATAACTACAATATATTAAAATTAAACTGACAGAAAGCCTTTAATTTCAACAATGTATTAAATATATTTTGGACATTTAGAGTAAGGAAATGTAAATGTTTCTGTATGGACATTTTACTAATAAGTTTATAAAAATCAACTGGCAAAATATATTTTCTTAACTCTATGGAAAAAGTATAAAAGAAACAACTTATATAAGTACATACTATGTGCAAGATACTATACCTAGTATGATTTTGCTCTGTGTCCCCACCCAAATCTCATCTTGAATTCTAATCCCCACATGTCGAGGGAGAAACCTGGTGTGGGAGGTGATTGGATCATAGGGATGAATTCTCCCATGCTGTTCTCGTGATAGTGAGTTCTCAAGAGATCTGATGGTTTAAAAGTGTGTGGCGGTTCTCCGCACGCTCTCTCTCTCTCCTGCTACCCTGCGAAGAAGGTCCTTGCTTCCCCTTTGCCTTCCACCATGATTGTGTGATTCCTGAGGCCTCATGCTTCCTGTTACACCTGTGGAACTATGAACCAATTAAACTTATTTTCTTCATAAATTACCCAATCTCAGGTAGTTCTTTATAGCAGTGCAAGAATAGACTAATACAGTCCTCATTACAAATCTCTGAGAGAAATGCTTGTAGTATCCCAGTTTACAGATGAGGAAACTGAGGCACAAAGAAGGTAGATTATTTGCCCAAAGCCACTCTGCTAGTGAGTGGGATTCTAACCTGGAGTTAAAACATGAGCGTCTAGGCTCCTAACCATTTCACCATTCTACTTTTGCAGCACAATCAGTAATATTTTAATTTGCTTTGGTTAGAGCAATAAAAATGTCTGGTAAAAATAACATGATGTGGGGGGTTAGTATTATTGCATTATTACTATCACAGCATGGAATTATCCAAATAAATTGTATAGAATTTTAAAAAATATGAGTACATTTCTGGACATCACATCCTTAGGCCTCAGGAACTGAAGACACATTGCAATTTACTATAGGCTAATCAGCAAAAAAAAATTTTAAAAAGCTCCACTGCACCTGGTAGGAAAAAGATAAATAATAATTAACTTTTATTAAATGTTTATGATGTGTCAAACATTATTCTGAGGGCTTTAATTAAGGTATTTAATTCTACCACAATCTTCTAAGATATGTGTTATTATTACTCCCATTTTATGAATAAGGCTAAGTAGGAGTAACATATTCACACTGCCCTCTCCCTCCTCTATTCTTTATTGCTGGAGATTTCCGAATCTTTGTTGTTTTCTTATTTTATATTGGTGGGTGATTTAAAAACTTAGGTGGTTTTTTTCTGGTAAGGAAGGTTGCAACCTTTGGTTTAAGACTGAGTTGAAGGATAATTGCTGCTTCATGACAGAATGCTAAGAAAATGACTTTGAAGGCATTTTGCTTTCTGCCTGCAATGTTACTACTGCGTGATCTGGTTTAGTATAATAATGACCAGGAGCTCTGGTATCTAATTTTTCAAATCCTGGCTCTGCCTCCATCTTAGAGGCAGAGGTTCCTGTTCCTGCTGCTGTAACAAAACATTTTAGGTAATTTATAAGCAACAGAAATGTATTCCTCATAGTTCTGGAGGCTGAAAAGTCCACCATTAAGGCAGCAGCTGATTAGATGTCTGGTCTTCTCTCTGCTTCAGAAATCACACCTTCTCAAGGCATCCTCCCATGGCAGAAGGGTGTGAACAGGGCAAACAGGCTTCCACTGGCACTAAAGGCACTAATCCCATTCATGAGGTGATGTAATCACCGACTACCTTCTAATACCATCACCTCGGGGGTTAGGTTTCAACATATGAATTTTGGAGGAGCACAAACATTCAGGGTATATCAGCCTCTGCTTAGGTAATCTTGTGCAAGTTACTTAACTTCCAAAGACTGCTCTTGCCTGCTTTGTTAGGGTTCCTGGGGTAAGGGTAGGAGAAGGTCATGGGGTGGGGTAGGAGAAGAGCTGATTGAGAAAGAGAATGAAAGAGGCAGGAGGCTATAAAAGTATCTAAAAATGTTTTCTCCCAACCTCATTCGACATTTTCCCTTACTTACTTGATATTTTCTGTTTGTTTAATGATGAAATCTGTTTGACTCCTGTCAGCTTTCTCTTAGTCATATGAGAACTTTCTAGAACTAATGGGCTTGCATGAGAACTGACTCCCAGGCCCACCCATGCTGTTGCAGTGAGATCACTTTTTGTAGCACTCGTTCTCATTCTGCTTGCCATCTTTCTGGATGTGTCACCAACGTTGTCTGTGAACCACACCCACAAAAACAACTCAGAAACAGATTTTTCTTGAACCACATGCGACATTGGTGAAGTGTAGTATTTTTAAGTAGGCCATGTAGCTGTCTAATTGATCACTCTTCCTCTATTGTTGACAAATATTTATTGAGACTCATCCTGTGCTTGGCACCAGTGATAGAAAGACAAATATCCCTGGCTACTTCATATTAGCAGCAAGCCTAGTATGCCTTATACACTGCCAGGGTAGATTTTTTTTTTTTTTTAAAGTTAAGTTGCTTTCCAACTCTTGACTGTGCATAACATTTTCTTAGAACCTGCGGTCTCTATTTTTGTCTTCTGTTTAGCTCTTTCACTAGCATCATTATTTGCAGACACACCAGAGCATCTCAACTTTATTCTACCAGGATCATGATTGATTTATATTCCTCTTTTGGCTCCATTCGGTGGTTTTTCTGCTAGTGCAACCTATTTATATGCACTTACTCTGCACTTTGCACACATTATTGCACACCTTTGTGGTATTACCCCCTGTGAAATCTAGACCTGTGCTATCCAATACTGGATGAATAAGATATTCCACAAATACATTCACTGCATATAGGTGTATATCCATCTATCTCTATAAAGTCTCTCCATATTACCTACAATGTATATTATACATATGTAACTTAAAACTCTAAACAACTTAAGCAACTTAAAGTTAAAAACTTTAAAACTCTAGATATACAGCTAAAAGATGAACTGGCTATAGTCTTTGCCCTTTGTAGTATATAACTAAAGGCCTGCCTGTCTAAAGAAAGCTTCTTGTTTCTGACCATGCTTGTACATAGGATGAGAGTTTGAAAAGTTATAATATAATTGGTAATCTTGTGTCACTGTAAGTTTGGCATATATCATTTCTTAGTGAGAAAGCAGAAGCTTTACTGTGAAATCCTCTCCTTGTCTGCTTTGAAGAATTTTTTATGGCAGAAACTAAACCATAATGCAACTTAAACTTGGAACTAAGCCAAAAAACTAGGATTCATGGGCATATCAGCATCATTATGATGGTGGTGATCATGATGATCGTTACTACCTTACCATTCTCATCCCATCACAAGTATTATTATTACTACTAGTGAGAGTTGTAATTATATTACTATTGTGTCGATTCTTTTACCAAATGAATTCCTCCCCTCTCTTCCCATTTTTTTTTACCTCATCCTAGTTGTGTTTATAGAAACAGAATTGACAATTTACTTAATTACATAATACTAAACAAAAGAATATTGTGTCAAAACTGATTTGACATAGAATGAGGTTGCCTATTAAAGCTGTATTATCATAACATATCTTCCAGACATGATATTTTTTTCTGCTTGCAGCTGAAAGTAGAAATTTTTTTGAAACATATTTAGAATTGCTTCTGGAGTTAGGCATTACTAGATTATCACTAATTGCTTGAGAGAGACCCCACAGTCCTAATTAGACAGAAAAGCGAAAAGCATAGGCAGGGCTACCACATTCAGCCTTGACGATTACACACTGCAGAATCCCAGGACATGCTACTCACACAAACAGTGATGTGGATGGCATTCCCAATGTTGTGCAACAAAGCAACCTGCATATTTGGGAGTACTGAGAATACTGTAGGAAAAAATAAAGAACATTTTATGGAAGTATTTGGTAGATCCATGGTCATTTCATTGTCTTTGAAGGTAAATTTTATTTTTAAATTTAATTCTTTCTAGAAACCATGAATATTAAGAAGCATTATACCTTGAGTGAAAAGAGAAAAAAGTTCTCAGTAGGAGATTCCACAATCAATATTCAATTTCACAAAAGCATACCATTGGAAATGAGAAAAGCAAATGTAAAATTTGGACTTAGAGTGTGTAAAGGACAAATCAATTAGTAGAGACAGTAAACATAGGAGAAAATATTTAAGAAAGGAAATGACTCTAGCAATAGTGCAGATTACATAGCTTGAATTCTCTCGGCACAAAACATCTACTGCCAGCTAAAAAACAAATATTTTAGCTTTGCACAGTGGCAGTATCATAGCCAATGGAGTTTATCCAAGGCATGATTATTGCCAGTTGAAAACTTTTCCCAATACCCCACCATGACAACTTGAAATATAGCCGGCGTTGGCAATTTTTGGCAGTCTCTACAGAGAATGAATCATAAAAGAAAAAAAAAGAATAAAGTTTTAAAGCATATTGCTTACCTCACAAAGATAATAAAGGATATCACCACTCCTCCAATATTGTGACTATTCAAAATGTACTAAATATTCTAGCCAGTGTAATTAGAAAAGAAAAACAAATAAAATTATAAAGATTGGAAAGAAGAAATAAATGATCCGTAAATATACACAGTATGGTTGTTTATATGGAAACATGTAGTTAGGCATAAGAGACTACAAAGTATTAGAATTAGGAATTTAGTAAGGTTGCTGGATATAATATCAATATACAAAAATCAATTACATTTCCATACAGCAAATATTAAGAAATATTACTTTTGAATATATATAAAATAATCAAAAATATGTCTAGGAATTAATCTAGTAAATGGCAAGATTTTTATGAGGAAAATTATGCAACTTTGTTGACATGTCTTAAAGAGGACCTAAATACATGGAGAATATACCACGTTTATAAAAATGTAAACTCAATTCCCTAAAGATGTAAATACTCCTTAAATTAACTATAAATGTAATACAATTCCAATTCAACTCAACCAACAGATCTGAGTAGTGGACTAGAATTGAGTTGCTGGTATTTGAAGTGAATCTGGAATTCTTTGGAGAGTCTAGTATGATTAATGATGCCTCTAATAGAAAAATATTCCCTGTAAATTTTGTTATCAAAAGGATGAATACTCAGATATATGTTACAGATAGAAAATCAATCTTATTTACCGGGAACTTGAATATTTCAAGTGATGATTTCTTGGCAAAGGAATTGCTGTATCAGTTGCAAGATGGCATTTTTCATCCATGACTCAGAAGTCTGGAGTACCTGCCTAGTGCCTAATATGGATATAGACTCTAGGCTTCCAGATCCAGAGAGAAGAATGTTTTAGCAAGTGCATACTGCCACACATGAGAGCATCCAAAGCATCCAAAGGCATCTGAACTACTATACCTCACCCAGAGGCTACCTGTTAAACTATAACAGGCATGCCACCTGTTCTTTCAGAGGCCAATAAGTGATCTTTGAACAGGGTTGGAGTTAAAAAGTAAACCTATCCTTCACGTTTTTACACTGTTAAAACTAAAGCTCTTAAAACAACGGACTTGATATGACTCTGCGGTCAATGTTTGCTTCTAAGATTGGCTCATTGTTTACATTTTAAAGGAAGAACACATTTGTTATGAAAAAGTTTTTCCGAATAGTCTGATTGCTTTGGAAGCAGCTCTTAAAACTATAACACTATGTAATCGGCCAAACTTTCTGTACTACAGTTACCCTTCCAACTCTATAGCCATGAGTTTTTGGTATTTTTCAGTGAAAAAGAGGGCCAGTTTAAAACATAAGATTATATAGATACCTTTTTAAAGAGTTATACTATCACTTTTGTGTTAAAAACCAAGAGTTCCATGTATTTTCTCAATAGGCATGAAATCATAATATAAAATATGGAAAAAATCTCAGACTAGTCAGGTGTTTGGTGTTTCCTTTCAACAATTTATTCTATGTTTCCGACTCACCCTCTTACCCTGCTTTTCCTCTCTTACATCCTCTTCATTGTGGAAAGAGGTGATAGATACAAACCGAAAGCTTCATAGAAAGCATGCATGGCAGTCTGTTTCCTACAATATACACTAAAAGTGTAATTCGTTTTCTGTTTACTTTCCTCTTCTGTTGTTTACTAGTTGCAAACAATGACTATCATTTGAAAAAGGTGAAAATAGTAAAGCTATAGATGACCTGAACAGATCAATTAATTTGACCTACTGGACATATATCAAGTACTTCAACAACAGCTGAATTACACATTCTTTTCAAACTCACATGATGTATACACAAAGATAGGCCATATGCTGGGCCATTAAACATACCTTAACAAATTTAAAAGAATAGAAATTATACAAAATATGATCTCAGAAAAGTTAACTGGAGAATCCCCAAATATCTGCAAATTAAACAACATGTTTCTAAGTAACCTATGAGCCAAAGGAGAAATCTCAAGAGAAAATTTTAAATATTTTGAATTAAATGTAAATAAAAGTACAACTTACCAAAATTCATAGGACACAGCAAAAGCAGTGCTTAGAGGGAAATTTATAGCATTAAATGCATATACTAGAAATGGGGAAAGGTCTAATTTCCATAGAAAATTGGAAATGCCACCTTAGAAAGCTGGTAAAAAGGGTGAAATAAAACTGATTAGCAAGCATAGAAAAAAGGTTCAATTTTACATATAATCCAATAAAATAAATACTAATATAAATATCACTTTTCACAAACCAAATTGGGAAATTTCTACTTTTAAAGCATAATATTCAATGCTGGTATGGGTGGGGTGAAATAGGCACCATACATTAGTGATAGTTGTACAGATGGATGCAGCCTTTTTGGAGAGAAATTTGACAATGTGGCCTAAATGTAACTTCTCTTTGACCTGGTATTTTCATTTTAATAATTATAGGGAATATTTTTTTTAAATCTCAGATTAACAATGTTTATTTGACAGAAACAGCTATAAAAATATTATGAATAATAGCAAAAATCTGAAAATAACACAAGTGTCCAGATAAATGTGGCATCAAGTATTATGAGGTAGATCCACTCACTGGAACAGTATGGATCAGGCACGAAAACTGATGTTTATGTAAAATTTCTAATAATAATAAGTGAAGAAAGGCTGAGTGCAGTGGCTCATGCCTGTAATCCCAGCACTTTGGGAGGCTAAGGCAGGTGGATCACCCGAGGTCAAGAGTTCGAGACCAACCAGGCCAACATGGTGAAACCCCTTCTCTATTTAAAAATACAAAAAATTAGCCAGGTGTGGTGGCAGATGCCTGCAATCCCAGCTACTAGGGAGCCTGAGGCAGGAGAATCACTTGAACCCGGGAGGTGGAAGTTGCAGTGAGCCGAGATCGAGCCACTGCACTCCAACCTGGGCAACAAGAGCGAAACTCTGTCTAAAAAAAAAGCAAAGAAAATATGGAACAAAAATTGTATGGCTAGATATAAGATTAGAAGGAGACATACCAAAATGAAAGCTGGTTTTGTTAACGGTGGAGGGTGTCCAGGTTTTTGGTGTTTTGAACAAAGAATTGGACAAAACGCACAAACACCACAAGGAAGGAGTGAAGGGTTTTATTGAAAATTAAAGTACAGTCCCCAGTGTGGGAACGGGCCTAAGCATAGAGGCTCAAAGGCCCAGTTACAGAATTTTGGGGAGTTTAAGTACCTAGAGAATTCCATTTGTTACTTCAGGTACACCCTATGTAAATGAAGAGGATGAAGTAGTTACAAAGTCATTTATGGTCTATGCCCTATGGAGAGGATACTTCCTGTTATAGCTGAAGTGTGAATCAGCCTTATGTCCCCTGCTTCCAGAACCTATTTTCCTGCCTCAGTTTCTTTGGAAGATATGTTTGCCCTACTAACTGCTTTTCTGTATTTCCCAAAGACCCATGAAGAACACAGTGGTTTCACTCATGGGCCTTGGAGTCCAGTGGTTGGTTTACAATCTCAGCGCTATTATTTACTAGTTGGGTGAGTCTCAATTCTAATTTGTAAAGCAAGGATGACAATTGACAGTCTCTCCCTAGGGCGGCTAAGAGGTCTGAAGGTGATCTTGTATGTAGAGTGTTTAGCACAAGGCCTGCTGTACATTAAATCCCCAATAAATGGCTATTTGTTATTGGTTATAATGAGAAAAAAAAGTCTATCAAAAGTAAGCACATTAGGGCCAGGCATGGTAGCATACGCCTGTAATCCCAGCAGTTTGGGAGGCTGAGGCAGGCGGATCACCTGAGGTCAGGAGTTCAAGACTAGCCTGGCCAACATGGTGAAAGCCCATCTCTACTAAAAATATTTTTAAAAATTAACCAGGCATGGTAGCACATGCCTGTAATCCCAGCTACTTAGGAGGCTGAGGCAGAAGGATCACTAGAATTCGGGAGGCAGCAGCTGCAGTGAGCCAAGATTGCGCCACTGCACCCTAGCCTGGGTGACAGAGCAAGACTCCATCTCAGAAAAAAAAAAAGAAAAGTAGCACATTAGGACAGGCTCACCTAGATTTGTACAGGGAAGTTTTCATTTCTCTGTTGGACTCTATTGATGTATTTCTTTGAATGATATGTATTTTCAAGATATTTATTTACTAATTGCTAGATATCTGGAGTTCACAAATGGGGCACTTAGATGTCCTTGTATATATTGGAAAAACACTACATGCTGAGAAACAGTAAGTATATTTGATTCTCTTTGTGTATTTAAAAGTGCCATACCTAAGACCATACCAGTGAGACTGAGAAAAGAATTCAAAGCTACTGACTTTAGCTACTTATTACCTCAAGTCTGCAGGCTGTGATTTTTTAAATTTCAGAGTAAGCGATAGTAATCTGTACCTCCTTCACCCTTCCTATAGGGTCATTAGTAGACTGGGAACTCCCCTGCCACTTCAGGATTCTTTTCAATGTAAAGTTTAATATTATTTTCAAAGTGTTACTATAACTCTAAAAGATTACATTACCAAAGACATTGTTCTGTTCATAATAGAAATATCATGCATTCTAACAGGAATTCCTAATTTTTTTGAAAAAAGATTCCTTCTTCTCTGTTTGCAATAAAACTTATATTCATTCAAACATTTCTGAAGGAGAACAGATCGTGGGGAAATAATATACTTTATCTTTATGATGAAGGAATCTTCAATAGTTATGTTAGAGAGACTTACTACATGCATGAAAAAGTGCTTGGGCGTCAGAGCAATGAATATTTTTGAACTAATTTGGCTTTAAAGTTTTAATTCCTCAAATTTAGTGAGGAATATCTCTGTGAGTAAGTAGCATTTTTAAGTAGAGAAGGTCTAAGGTAGAACGTTTGAGGTGTTATTTTGAAGCGTGCAGAAACGTAAATGGACTTATTTTTATTGTAACCTGAGTGGCTATGGCCTTCCAATTTGCTTAATTTTTTTTTTTTTCTTTTTTGAGAT